ATACATACACACAGGTCACATACACACAGACACACTTAATGTATAAAAAAATAAATGTAAAAAGAATCACGATAAGGAACAGAAAAATAAGTCACAAAAAGAAATCAGCAAAGTCCAAAGTTGGTTACTTTAGAAATTAGTTATATGGAGCAAGGTCCCAAAAGGTTGATAAAGTTAAAAACATGGTGATGAATGAGTGCTGAGAGCAGGCTTTACCCATAGATCCTATGGGTTTTGGGGGGGATTGTCAGACAGCTTCTGTGTCTCACCAGTCCAGGGTAGCCTTGAATTCACAGAAACCTTGCTGCTTCTCCCTCTTGAATGCTGGGATTAAAAGTATGTACCTCTAACACTGGCAAAGCCTTGTCATTTGAGCTCCCCAGTCTATAGGTTCTGCTACAGCTGCTTGAGCAGACACCGGACAGTGGCTTTTGAAAGGAACTGCTTAGTCCAACCTCCTCTCACCGTGGATAGACAATCTCTTAAACTCCTCTTCGCACAGGAAGTCTGTGAGGTCTGTAGAGAACAGGACTCAACAGAAATGATATTCTTTTCCAAATGGATCTCTGGATGCTTCTATCCACTGCAGGCTGTCCTGATGAAAGTCCATCACCTGTGGATATTTGTCTTGTTCATACTGAGAGTACTGAGTCAATGGTTGGAGTGGGCTATACACAAGATTCTCACTTCCAGAAAGGATTAGCTGAGGGCAAACCCGTCCTGAATGTGAGCGGCACCATCTCGTGGGCCGGGATTCTGGCTGGGGAGAAGGAGGTGAGCTGAGCATTAACTCCCATCTCCGCTTGCTTCCTGACTGATTCAATAAGACTGGCCACTCACGTTCCTGCCCCCACAGCCAAAGCCATTTGCACTGTCACACCCACATGGATTGCTACCTCAAACTGTGATCTTAAACACATGCATGCCCTTCTTTGGCTGCTTTCTTCAGAGTCTTTGTAATAGAAATGGGGAAAGTAACTTAGTGCTGGAGGAGTCGGGGCGTGGCTGTGATACCCGTGACCATGTGGTTCCCAGACCTTTGGACCTGGTTGTGGGGAAATGTGGAAGAGATTGAAGCCTAGGGCTAGAGAAGGGTTTCATGAACCATGTGAAGGAGACTTCCAAAGACCAGGGACGAAGAGAAATGTGTATACGAGACTCCAGGGAGGAATGCATACAGACCAGAGGACATTTACCTTCTATTCTGGCAGAGAACCTGGCTGAGTTTTTCCTGTATCCCTAAAAATAAGAGAGAAGCTAAGTTTAAAACTAACGGAGCCCAGTGCACATCTTTAATTCCAGCACTGAGCTGCAGAGGCGGGCCGTGTACAGAAAGAGTTCCAGGACAGACAGGGATAAACAGAGAAATCCTGTCTCTGGAGAAAATAAAGAGTGCGAGGTGGTGGTAGGGTGTGGTTGTTTGGAGAGGAAATGTAAGATAGTACAACATTCAGGATGTGGAAGGGTTATCGCTCATTGCTCTTAGACCGACAGTGAACGAGAACAGAAAGGTTTGGGGAGGGGGAGATGTGCTGTTTGGAAAATACAAAGAGTATAGATGGGTTTAAGGATGCCAACAAGAAGAGTACAGACAAAACAGCTTCTAACGAGAACCTGGAAGCGCTGGAGAGGTGGCTCAGTGTGGGTTGCTCTTCCAGCCTGGGTTCAATCCCCAGAACGCACACGATGGCTCACAGCTGTCTGTAACTCCAGTTCTAGGAAATCCGACATCCTCTTCTGGCCTCCAGAGGCACCAGACACACAAATAGTGCACACACACATAAGCCGGCCAAACACTCATATACATACAAATAAATACTAAAACAAGAGGTATGTGCCAGCTGGTAAAAATGCAAGATTATTTAAAGAGAGACTGAGCTGATGTTACTGCTGGAAGGCTTTCCTACTCAGAAACATCTATTCGAGGAAGTGTTTTCCAAGGTTCATCTGCTGCGGTGCACAGAAGCCACTATCGCTGTGGTAGAAAGATACCAGCTGGCAGCATCTGCCTGGCGGCATTTTTTGTGACGTGGGAAATGCAAAAATTACAGGATCACAGAGGTTTGCACCCAAGTTCCAGAAAGCCACCAAGGGTTGGGAATGGGCAGAAGGATTGGATTCCCTACAGGAAGCCCAGAGAAAGCAATGAAGCCTGAATCAGAGCGGAGACCCTGGGATGCTGGAGATACCCAAACTGTGGTATGTCCACCATGGAAAGCTGGACACACAACATGAAGATCTCAAGGGAGAGGCCAGGTATGCTGCAGGTAGCGAGCTAGAGGGAAAGGCAGCTGTGCCCAAGGCAGCTGAGCCCAAGGCAGCTGAGCCCAAGGCAGCTGCGCCCAAGGCATGAAACTGCAGCACTCAGTGTCTGCTCAGCTGTATGTTGGTCTCACATTGGCCTGATCCTCCTTTGCCATGCTCCCATCCTTCCTGCTTGGAACAAGAATATTTATTCTGTGCCACTGTATGTCAGGAGCACGTAACTTGTCTACTGGTTTTTATAAAAGCTCAAAGTCACAAGTTTATCTTGAGTCACAGAAGAGACTTCGGACTTTTGAGCCATGTAGGGACTAGCAGATGTTACAGAGGCTTTCGGATGTGTTCTACTTGTAACTTTAATTTTTTCCATACCTTATTTGCAGTGATGGTTCTTAAACCCTTTAACCTTCCTTGTAACCCACCACCCACCAGAAGTAGTGGAAAAGAAAGGATACAGGGGTGAGGTGGGGTGGGAATGGACCTGTTTGGAAAGGTTCTTTGGAGCAACTCCCATCTGTGTTGTCAGGAAACCCGCAGCTCAGTTCACAGGCAGAGGCAGCTCTAGCCACTCGCAAACACTTCGTGGATACACCAGCAGTCCAGTTCGGTAGAGTCGGCTTAGCAACAGCAGTGTGACATGACCTAGCAGAGACAGCCAGGCCTCAGCCTCTGCTCAAGTCAGCAGGAGGGACCAGCAGAAACACCAGGAGACGTTCTCGGCACCAGGAGAAGTGCCTCTCTCAGGGAAGAGAAGATCAGCAAAGACTAGAGACCCACAAGCATTGCACAGCTAGCTGTACCAGTGAGCCACGCTCTGTCTCTGTCACTCCATGGAGTCCTATTTATACCCTCCAAATGTCACGTGTCCTCCACGTGCCTTACCTCAGCACCTGCATCCAATCAGCCTGAGTCCACGGAAGTGGCAAGAAACTCCAGTACACCACCAGAAGTTTTTTGGTGTATTTCTCTCTATGGAGTCCAGACAAATGCAGCTCAATTATGTAATGTAAGGTGGACCAATACACATGTGTCATTAGCAAAGAACCTTCACCATGTGTCCTTTCACATGCTTGCTTTAGCAGGACATCCTCTCTGTGTCTGCTTCAGTGAAACCTTCCCTCATGAGTCCGCCTTAGTCTTTCACACCTGTGTCCACTTTGATGAAACATTCCTTTACGTGTATGCCCCAGTTAAACACCGTCCAACCGACTTTCCAAAGAACCCTTAAGTCTCCACTTTATTTATTAGCATGGATTTTACTAGCATGTATTTTATTAGCTGGAATGAGCTAGTAAATGTCCCTTTAGTGGACGGGGAAGAATGTTTCCATTTAGAAGCACCGGGTCTGGCTGTCAAGTTGCTAAGGGGTGGAGTTGCCAACCTAGAATCACCTAGGAGACACACCACATCTGTGAAGGGGGGGGGTTCAGAGAGAATTAACTAAGAAGGGAAGGCCCTCTTGGAATACAGGCAGTGCTATCCCACAGGTTGGGACTTTAATGAAATATAATAATAAATAAAATGGAGAAACAATCAAACTTTTGCTTTTGAAAGCAAAAGTTTCAGTGTTTCCCCCTCATTGTTTTCCAAGGAAAGCAATGAACAGCTCTCTTGGCTGCCAGGTAACTAACTTCCACAATGGACTTGATCCCGGCAGGCTCTGAGCTAAAAAGAAAGAAAACCCTTCCTTCTTTAAGCCGCTTTTGACAGCTATTCATCATAGCAAGGGGTAAAGTAACCAATGGATGAATTTCTCGCAGTCACAATGGCCTGTGCACCGAGGTCAAGGAATGAGCCCCCTTCGTCGATGGAGACAGTTTCTTTGAGTGATAAACTACAAAGTTATCATGCTAAAAAAAAGCAAAGTGTCCTAATGGCAAGCTTAACATGCTCGGACCCCACAGGATCCCAAGATCAACCACCCTGGACTGAACCATTTCAGAGGAAACCACAAAACTAAAGGTCCTGACAGTTTGGCATTGATTGTTATTCTACAAATTAAGGGAAACACTAACAAACCTCTCTCTGAAGGTGCCGGGTACCCTCTAAGTGTCCCACAAGGTAGAGAGATGATGTCACAGGGTCAAACTCTGGAACTCACAGGCACATGCCACAGGCATGGTGCATAATTTTCTCTCTCATTTCATATTCAAGGTTATGGACCAGGATGCATGCCAACCTATCCCGTAATCGTATGAGAGAGAAGAAATGGTTCATGACTTAGGTTCACTATTCTTCCCTACATGGACTGGAGAGTTAACGGCAAATCACACTTATTACACAATCCAGTAGCAATCCAGGCTGTTACTCAAATGGATCATTTACTTCTGGCTAGGATGGCCTACAAGGTAGAGAGTGTGTTAGGCAGAAGCAAATGTTGTTTTCCTGGGTATATGCAGGACACGGTGTCACCACTTAGGTTTCATAATCTTCTTGAAATACACACTTTTCTCTTTCTGTGTAGTGTATTTGGAATAAAGTATTAGGGGTATATTTGGGATAGAGCTTTCATGGGAAATTTGCAATCTCTCACAAGTTTGCCATTCAATAAGAAAGTTTGTTCTTAAAATTCTTAGAAATCCAGACAATCACTAGTAGTGTGACCTTTGGTGAGCCCAGAAGTCCCCAGGCCTAAAGAGGGCAGGCAGTGAAGAAACCATCTCAGGGGTCTTACAACTGTCTGAAGGTCCCTTTCTGGACGGTTATCTGTTATCTTCTCCGAGAAGCCGCACACAACATTCGATTACTTTTTTTTTATTTAAGCATTAAGAAACTGTAGCACAGTGACTAGAAAATGTCTTCAGAATGTCGGCAACGAGGAAGAGACTTCACAAGACATGTGCAGGCCTTCCTCTCGTTACAGAGTCATCGGCCATTCAACACAAACATGCCCCCATCTCTGAAGTGAAGAGCCAGGCACATGAAGCCCCTTTGAGTCACCAACCAGGGAGAACATACTAAGCTCTGTACTGAGGCCGGTTAGAAAGGGAGAGGGGAGGGCTGCCTGGAGGAGACAGTGAGGATGGAAAATCAAAGCAGACAAACAGAGATGGACAGAATGGTACACAGACCTACATGACAGACAAAGGGACAAAGGGGGAGGAAGACCTCCCTAGAGGACACTCCTTTAGGAGGGATCAGGAACTGTTTCTGGTGTTGTTAAGGTTGCTGAGGCCAAGGAGCTGAGCATGTGAAGTACTGGCGATTGCGCTGAGTGCAGACAGGGGGAAAGCCATCCTGTGCCAGGCTTGAGCGCAGAGGCAGTGCCCTCTCCACCTGACTTGCCTAGAGGAACAGCCCTTCCCTTCTCCTCCCCTTGCCCCCGCCCTCACCAGTGTTGCTAATTTTGCCCCTTTGGCATTAACCATTTAAAATCAATAAGTAGCTTTTTTTTTTAAATTCATCTGGTGTCTGATGTAGCTCCCTCTGAACTAAGGCCTCTTGGTTGGCAAAGCTTGTGCCAAGAAGGAAAGAGAGGGGAGAGAGAGAGAGAGAGAGAGAGAGAAAACGCAAAGACCTCTACAAGGAAAATATATAATTGGTTTTTAAAAATGTAAGGCTTTGATTTAAAATACAATTGAGAACTGACACATTAAAATCTAACAAGACAAACATTAAACTGGTTATTGACTTGCATAAGATAAGTAAAAAAAAATGAGGTAATGCATTACTTTCCTACAGGCAACCTTATCTGATTAGAACAAATACTTCCTTCTCATCCTTGGGGTTAAATCCACTCAGGCACAGAAGAAATACAAAAGAATCATCCTCCAGGTAATGGGAAGGGCTTGGCTCCTAAGAGACAGGAGTTTAACCCTTCATTCAAATAATAAATAGAATCTAAAAAGTCACTATTTACAGCATACAGAACCCCATTGTCACGGTTTTCACAGTGATGAGAGACACCTGCCCTGGCCCACAGCTACTTCCTGCTTCCACCTCAAACTGTTCGGGTGGGCAGACTTGCCCTGCCTTGCTTTCACTCACCGACCACATCCTTCTCTGCCCTAGCTAGTGAGGGCGACATTGCTATGCCCTCAGATAAAAACTGCATTCTTAACAGACAACAACCCTGACTCCGGTCCCCACCTTGATCTACCTCTCAAAAAAAATTCTAGCTGTGCCCCTGGAGACACCTGTGTGTGGCTTCGACTACATGCGCATGGCCATGTATGCACATGTATGTGTTATCGTGGGCATGTGTGGGTGGCTGTGTACGTATGCATGCATGCATGCATGACTGCTAGTGGCATGGATGTGCTTGTGCATTGACAGGGGAGTGGTGTGTGTGTGTGTGTGTGTGTGTGTGTGTGTGTAAGGGATGGCTGAGTCCTCAGCTGGCTGGTGGAGCACAAGTTCTCCAGGATCACCCAGAACACTTTCCAGGGCTGCTGGGTTACACGGTTAGTTAACCAGAGTTTCCAGTACCCAATATCTTTCTTATTTGTAAGGAAAGAAATCATGTATGTAGCACCATGTCCTAGCTCTGCAATAGAAGACCACTCCACCCTCGGTGGTCACAGGCTTGCAGAGTCCCCAGGAAGTAGAATGCCACCTGGGGCAGAGGACCTCTGGGTCCAATCCTTAGTTAGGGTGGGAGGTTAGAAGGCATTTCACAAGTCCTTCCTCCCCATGGGGTTTGGGGGCAGAAGGAGGAGCAGGGAAGAGCTGCTGGAGTCAGGCGAGTCTGCTGTGTCTCACGCTGACCTAATTGCACAGAAGGTGGGTGGTGGGCGTTAGAAAAGGCTGTGGGTCACTCATGAGTAAGCACACCTGGGGAATAGTCCTGTCCCTTGCTGGCCTACCTGGTTCACAAGAGCCCAGGTGTGCAAGGAGCGCAGGAGGCGGCCGTGGGCCTCAAGCCAGGCTGGGTCCCACAGGCCCACCTAGCTCACAGCGTGCTCAGGTGCGGCAGCGAGTCCAGATGCTCTGTGCGGCCCCTCGCAGCTGCCGCCGACTCCACCCCACGCAGCCACTCGGTGCACTTGCGCACGAGGCCCTCGTCCACCACCTCCACCTCCTCCTCGTACTCCTCATCATCGTACTTGTGCTTCTCATTGAGCAGCGACACCTTAAGCACTGGGCGCAGGCTGGAGGGGTGCGGGCTGGGCATAGTGGCCTGCAGACCTCCCGGCAGCAGCGAGGCACGGGGAGGGCGGCTGCTGACTGCCACAGCCAGAGGCGCGTCGGGGACACTGGTGGGACCGCCCCTCCGCAGGGTCGAAGACCTGGTCCTGGGACAGGGGACCAGGGGGCGCCGCGGGTCGGCCGAGGGTGCAGTGAAGGGCCTGCGGGGTCGCGCCAGCAACTGCTTCTCCAGGTGGCGCCTCTGGATGACCAGGATGGCTTCTGGGGTGAGGCTCAAGGAGAAGCGCGTGGTGTCGTCGGGCCCGGCCCCCGCCCCCGCAGAGGTCCCCGAGGCGGTGGATGCCGCTGGGATGTGGCTGCAGGCGACCCTCCGGGGAGCAGAGCACGTGGCCGGGGTTCCCCCACGGCCCGGAGAGGGCTGGGACGGGACGCGTGCGGAGGTAGGCGGCTGCGGGGTGCCCGGACCCAGGCCGGGACCGCGCCGTGCCGGGGGCCTCTTCAGGGTGGCGGAGGGCCAGGAGCTGGAGAGCAGCATCTCGGGCGGCCTCCTCTTCTTCTCGCCCGCGGCGGCGGCGGCGGGCGGCGAGGGCACGGGCGGCGCGCAGGGTCTCCGGGATAGCTGGCGCGCGGCGGGGCCCCCCTGGATTCGGGTGGGCGGTGGCGGTGGCGGAGGCGGCGGCGGCGGCATAGGCGAAAATGACATGACTCTGCCGAGCAAGCGGAGCATCAGTGTCCTGGAAGGAAAGGGGCGGGTCTCAGTCACCGCGCGCGGAGCCGCCCCACTGGCCCGGCGACCCCCGGCGCCTCCCCATCTGTTGCTGATCGCCGCGCGCGCGCACCCCGAACACCCACCTGCGAACAGCCTCGGCATCTCCCGCTCCCTCCCAGTCCCTTCAAAGGAAGGCGTCTCTCGCCACTCCCTCGCCTCGGCAACCCAGAGAGCGCCCTCCTTTTGCTCCGAGAGCTAGGTCCTGCGGGCACCGCCAGCAGCCACCCCACTGCTGGCGAATCTGGATGTCGGTCGCCCGGTTCGCACCTCCGAGACGCGCCGGGCTGGGCTGGGCGGCAGGAGGAGGAGCGCGCGCTGGCAAGGGCTTGCCAAGTCTCGGGCTGCTAGAGGCTGCTGCTATCGCAGACTTGCTTATCGCTGGAGACAAAGTGCCCGACATTTGCAGGGGCGGGAGCTCGCACCCAGAGCCCCAAGGCTCTCTGGTTTTCCCATGGATCGAGAAGTGAAGGATTAGTCCATCAGAACCCAGAAGCTAGGTCTCAAGGGTGGCACCAAGTCACTGGTGGAGTCCTGCACATTAGACAGAGAATCCTTTCAGATGACTCTTGGAGCCAGTCTGGAATAGCAGGGAAAGCAGCCGTACCGGGCGGGGCGTTTAGGCGCTACCTAGGTTTCCCTGGCATTGTTGATGCCACTCCTTGAGAGTTGTTTACACATTAAGGCCATTTGTTATCTATGAATAGGCAAGGCGTTTTGGTATACAATAACAACATAGGAAATATATGACATTTTCTGTTTTATCAAGTGACTTCCTGCAACATGATATGTTGTTATACAGACAAGGGAAGCCGGCTGTTTACACATGGAAACAATCACAGCACTGAAAGATCCGATAAGCCGGTCATCCAACAGTCATAAGACAACGCACCCAAAAGTCAAAGGGATTTACCGGGCACCTGTTTCACTTAAAGGGGGGCAACAGACAGCTAGACTTTAAAAAATGCTCACCAGCACAACGAACAGCTCTGGCCCGGGTTGAGCACATGGGAAAGTGGGTAAGCCTCTTTGCCTTGTGCCAACAGTCACCCCCTACCCCCTCCTCTTCTGTTTGTCCTTTCCAGAAGCAACTGGACACTCACAGTCCAGGGTAGCTAAGGAAACTTGGGTGGCAGAAGCTTTTCTCATCAGAGCAGCCGGGAAGTTGGCATAGGCCCCACAACGAACACAGGCATCTCCATCACCTCCCCTCTGTGCAAAGGCAGCTAGCTTCCAGAGAGCTCTCCCACTCAAGGGAGCCTTCTGCCCCTGCCAAGGGACCCAGGCCAGTAGCCTGGCCTTGCGCTCAGGCCAATAGAACACTTAGCTCCCAAGACACTGTATTGTTTTAGTTCAGGTTCTGGTTTCTAGCTAGTTATGGGTATGGGGGTGTAAGCAGGGCGCATGCTGAATATTAGGGGGAAGGAGTCAGGAGCCATTTCTGTAGGTATAGCTTGGGAGGTCATCTCTGGAGGAGAAGCAACAAACTGCTGGATGCCCAGATGTCCTGTGTGCCAGTGGAAATGTGCTATGTCTGGAATCCTGTCTGTGTTCAGATTGCTTCCTAAGACTTCAGGTGTTCAGAAGTAACAGTGTGGTTGGGTTGAAGGTCAGAGGTGGGGGTGGTACACAGTCTCATAACTTTAAGAGGTAACATACTGATGTAAGTCTGTGTTGAGCATGCCTATTACCTTGTCCATTCTACTGGGAAGGGGGTGGCACTTCCAGAGGCTCCAAATGCAGTGAGAGACAGGATTAGACTCAGCACCATGTGAGAGTCCAGCCAGATGGGGCTGTTACACTAAAGACAAGGAAGACTCTGTTGGTTGGGGAACCCACATAAGTGAACCCCACCTCAAACTGGTAGAGACTGGTGTGTTAAAAGCCCAGAGGAGCAAGTGAACCATTATCAGACTGAGAGCTAGGTCCAGACTAGGCACTAGAATGTTCCATGTCACCTTAGCAGCTTGCTCTAGCCCGAGCCTGCAACCCGGGAAGCTGCAAGCATTCCTGTCCCCTGAGAGTCAGGAAGAATGGAAGCAGGAAGCCCAAGTCCAGGTTTGACCTCAGGGGACTGCATTCTAGTACCTCAAGTGAGCTACCTTAGCTTGTCACTCTGACTCTGGGGGCAGTGTCTACACATCAGTGACACTTGTCTGCCTGTCCTTCTCCCTCTGCCTCTTGCAAGAAGTTAGGAAGAGCAGGGCACCTGAGAGGAGGCATGGGGTGGACATCTACCCCTGACTTGGTCACCACACTGACTGTTACAGAATCCATTACACATTCCATTTGGTGGGAGTGTGTGACAGGTGACAGTTGGAACAAGGGAAGCCATCCTAAGTGAAGGAGACTTTCAAAGACGAGATGCAGGGCCTAACCAAGATGGCTCAGATGATGAAGACACTCACTGTCAAGCTTGATGACCTGAGTTCAGTCCCCGGAAGCCACACAATGGAAGAAAAGAACCCGTTCCTGTAAGTTGTTCACTGAGCTCTGTATATGCACTGCTGCAGGACACAGGCAAACACGTACAAAAGTCAATACATACAAAAACAATTTAAAGTAGTTTTTTTTTTTAAAAAAAAAAGGGAGATGTGTGGTGTATTGAAGTGATTAGTTGACCAGTACACATAATTTTATAAATAATTTACTTGGAATTTCATATAATATGGAGAGTGACTGAAGGAGACACCAAACCTTGTTACACAGTACACTTACATACATGTATTTGCACATACACCACAAAACAAAAAGGCTGACAAAGCTCCCCACACTTGCTGGTCTGACTGAAAAATGTCCCCCCATATATTTAAGTACTTGGTCCCAGCTAATGGCTGTGTGAGGAGGATTTGGAGGTGTTGGATCTTGGATTTGGAGGAAGTTGGGAACTCTGAAGTTTCAATAGACTCACATCATTTCTGAGTCAGCTCCCGCCCTGTGCATGTGGTCTGAAATGTGAGCTCTCGGCTGTTCCTGATGACAGGCTCTGGCTCTACCATCAGAAACCCAACTTTCTGGAACCTTCTGGAAACATACGCTTTTGTTTAGAAGTTACCTCAGTCATGGTGTTTTTATCACACCAACAAAAAAGTAACCCATACACTCACTGAACTTACTATTCTGAGTAAGCCAGTTGATAGAAAAAAAGCACAAGTCAGCAAGCCCAAATAGACATATTTGGCTCTGTCCAGGTTCTTTATCATCTCATCTTGTTTTCCAGGTTTTAAATATAATAGTAGTTACCACAACCTTAAAGATATTTTCAGGATGAGTAAAATGATTACATCCAGGTCCCACTGCTATGGCAGGTGTGTTTTGAGAGTCCCCACTGGCGGGGATTTTAGCCTGCCCCTTCACCCCAGTTTGAAGCAGTCTCTTAAGTCATTTCCCTGTGGGCTAGGGGCAGTGGCACTGCAGGAAGCAAGTCTGGGTGGGACAGAGGCACATGTTAACACCATCGGCCATCCCACCCTGCCCTCTGTGGAACCAGGAAAATTCAGCACCAGCCACAGATGCTTTGCACAAGCACTAATGTTTCAAATGACCTCATAAACATTTTTTTCCTGGTAGTTTTATACTTCAAAAGCTGGCTTAGGCAGCATTTAAAGAGGAGAACAGAGGATGTGTTTGCTTAAGTCACACCAGTGTAGGCGAAGACAAAGCAGCTTGCAAACAGGGCACTGGATGCTTGCCTCTGCCCTGCCCTGGGGCTGGTCCTCTTCAGGATCCTACTAACCTAACTCTTCTGGTTGCTGCTGCAGTACAGGTCCCCAGGTCATGGTTGGGGATTCTGACACTGACACTACCTCTGATGGCCCAGGAGGAGAAGCTGCCACAAGCCACATCAACCATGACTGTCTCATGCTGACAGAGTTGGATCCTGGACCTGGTAGCGGCTCAACTAAAATGCACTCAGACACCAGGGCTTTGCATCCCAGGCTCAGTGGAAAGTTTAAGAGTGTTCTCTGCCTTTTACTGCAGGCTCCTCCCACAGATGCCTGGACCCTTCCTGAATGGTCTATGTACTGAGTGCTTGCCTACCAAGCACCAGCAGCCATTCATTCCTGCCGGCTGTCCTGTGGAGGAATAAGCCTAGCCTATTACAACTCTCAGATGAGGAAACTGAGGCTGAGTGGAGCTCTTGCATAAGCTGTGAAGAGCCCATACCTTTGTGATGCTCAGACCTCCACAGGATAGTGGAGTGTGGACATTCCTAGCGAGGACCATTTGCCTCTACTCCAAATAACTCCCTTAGGACATCCATGGCCCAGGTACTAGACATATATTCCACACCTTGGAGGTTCTGGAAAGACAGTGGGAGACTAAAGAAAACACTAAATTTTTTTAGTGGGCCATGGGATCCCTCAAGGCCCATCTACAGCACCCATTCTCCTGATGCTGGCCCTGTCATGGATCCGGGGGATGGGTAGGATCCCCTCTAGTATAGAGTGATGTTGGCTGGCCAGCAGACAAGAGAGCTAGCATATGCTACTATGTGCGCTACCAGGTGTGACCCTGGCCCGTGCCGAGGAACTTACTACACAGGACGTGAGGACTCCAGGATGTGGAGTGAGAAAAGCTGATGACCCTGGTGTTCAGAAACCAGACACAAACAAGTCTCCAGACCCCTAACCACATCACCCCACAGCCCGACTTTAACTGACTACAGCTTTCACACTCTAACAGCTGTGCCCTCTGGCAGAGTGGCCTGCCTGTCCCCTCCCTTCCACTGAGGACTCAAACTCAGTCTGTGCTGTTCCTCCCACCAACAGCCCTGCAAACTCTCTGGCAGGCTCAGGGCTGAAATGGAAGGCTAGATTGGATCTACTTAAATATCAGTGTTCCAGTGCCACACCTGTGCCTGCCAGCCCCTACACATCAACTGTACATGCCCCTCCCCCACAACTCTGCTGCAGGGCCAGCCCACCCCACATCTTGCAATGCCCATGCAGGCTGCCACCACTGCTGCCATTTGGCCTGGAACTAAGGGCCTGTCCTATCTGGGAAGTCCTAAGCTTCCAGCAAAGGCAACATCCTGTCGTCTACACATCTCTCCACACCAGTGGGTTTAGGATTCCACTTCTCCATTCTCAGGCCACTCTGCTGCCTCTGTAGACATCTTTATTTAGTTACTCACATTGCCCTAGGACCTGTACCAGCACTGGGCCTCCAGAGTATTTGCTTTCTGTGAGCCACCCTGATTCTTGCACAGGAAGAACTCCAAGGTCTGCAGGCTATGCTACCTGGATTTAGCTCTTCCAAATGGCCCCTGCTTCTTTCTCTCCCAGGTTCTGAAAGACCCCTTCCTTGGGACTGGCTATAACCAGTCAGGACAGGGTACAGGGTGAGCACTAAAGTCTACTTGGAGATATTTTTCGAAGGGGACCCCCAATTCTGCTTTCTTCAGAAGGTATGGCTGACGCAGCAAGTTGAGATCCAGGGAAGCAGAATGAGGTGACTCGAAGGAGTGACACAGTAAAATGCAGAGCAGGGCTTGGCCCACCAGAATCCGGCCAAGTGGACAGGACTGGCACTTTCGAGGAGCATGGCACGTGACTGCTCCTCCCTGTGCCTGGCCTGCTTCAGCATTACCGTCTGCAGCCTGCTTCTCTCAGCAGGTGCTGAGCAGCAGAGCACAGCTGCCACAGGACGGAACCTGTCCATCCCACACTTCCTCATGGTACCCAGAGCCTCTACTGGGCAGGGGTGTCTGTGTTCTTATCTGGAGACAAGACAGCACATAGCTCCAAAGAGGCTCCAGGGCGGGCAGGTGAAACCCTCAGCAGGGTTATTTTACACATTTGTTTTTGTGTATATGAGTGCTTTGTTTACATGTATGTCTGGTCACCATGTGCATGCATGTGGTGCCTCTGGAGGCCAGGGAGGCCAGGAGGGGGCTCAGAACCCCTAACATGAGTTAAAAGATGGTTGTGAGCCACCCTATGGGCACAAGGAATTAAACTGGTTCTCTGCAGAGTCGTCTCTCCAGCCCCCAAGTCCACAACGCGCCCCTAGTTGCCTGTCCCCTCCCACCGTTTCTGTACTTTGAGACACTGAGCGACGTGAACTGCCCACAGTGCCTGCACCTTCTCCGCCTTCCTATAGACTCATGTCCACATGGTTGCTGTGCCACTCACCAGGCCAGAGACAAGAGCGATTCTTCTGGCACACCACTGAGGACGCCTCCTCTCTTCATTTGCACCTGCCTGAGCCACACGTTCTGTCAACAAGTATACTCCTGCTGCCACTGGGCCACTGTCTGCCTGCGGGGACCTGAAGGAGACAGCAAGTCACTGCTTCCTCATCCTGTTGCCCAACAAAGCCAACTCTGTGATAGCCAAAGCTTCCTCTTCCTCCTCCTTCTCCCCCTCCTCCTCCTCCCTGATCTCTACCTGGAATGAAAGCAGTATGCTGTCCTTGCCACCTCTGGGGCCACCTTCTGAGCAGCAAACCCCACACATCCCTCCTTGGATCACTTTTTGAGTAGGTGGGCTATCTGGTTGGTTTGGTTTGGTTGGTTACCTCTGGTTAAGAACACTTGTTGCTCTGGAGAAAACCCAAGTTTATTCCTAACGACCATGTGGAGCCTCACTGTGTACCTCTGGCTGGTCTCCCGAGAGCTGGGATGAAGTGTGCATGTCTGGCCCTTGACTTCTGAGAGCTGGTTTTCAGTCCTGCAGTTGTCGAACCCTATCCTGTCACAGAGGCAGAGGCTACACCTCACAGAGCTGGAGCTGCGCTTCTTTGAGCTAAGCTATTCAATGTATTATACGGCTGATCCAGAAAAGGTTACATTTCCAAAAGTGGTTTATTTCAAAACTGTAAAGATACATATATTACTTTTTATTACACGTAATAAGTAGTTTTAAGCTTAAAGTATATAAAGTTTCACATTTTTAAAGTTAAAAAATCCTTTAAAGTTGTAGAGCATTTAAAAAGCCAAATAAGCTGGATATATCTTACAACACAGGTTTATACCTTAAATATTCACATTCTGAAAGCTGTTTGTAAAGATTAAAAACTGAGTACAAATTATTTACAAGTGGCAATGATTATGAGCTCCTTGTCTGTGGAAGCAGAGGTTAACAGGCAGGAACAGAGTGAACACAGTGAGGTTCAGCAGTCCACGGCACGGGCTGAGGCTGCTGCCGTTCTGGAGTGACCACTGGAGCAGGCACAGCGTCAGGACTGTTCCCAGGCACTCCTGGGCAGACGCGACTTTAACTGAAGAGCGAGGAACAACACTTGAGCACCGCGTCCCTGAGGGAGGGAAGGAGAAAGGGCTCTGAAGCCGCAGTGTGCAGGAGCACCAGCAGAGCCCCACCACACACTAGCAACTTCCAAGCAGGGCTGCACTCTGCAGCACCTTCCAAGGAACCGAGGCTTGGCTGAGATTCACTAGCAATACCTCCAAGTGCTTTTGAAGTTTTCTTGCTAACTTTTGAAATCATATTTGCCACAGGAATTTTTACTAGCACATAACCCTGATTTTTAATAAAATGACTCTCAAAAACAAGATAATCTTGGAGTTAAGTTTTTATAAGAATGTTTTTGTGTTTTTTTAACTTGCATACCCATGTAATGGTCACAACAGTCAAGTTAATGGAATCAGCCTACACGGCCAATGGTGGGTATGAATGGATGAAGAACATGTGTTGGTCTTTTTAAAACATTTATTTTTATGTATGTTGTATATGTCTGTGTGTCTGCCATGAATGTGGGTGCCTGTGGAGTCCAGAAAAGGCAAATGGACCTCTAGGAGTTGAGGCTGGAAATACAGAAGGATAAGCCACCTGACGTGGGTGGTTTTGGTCCTCCAGAATAGCAGCAAGCATTCCTGAGCCATCTCTCCAGCCCCTACAATGGGGTTTTAGTCAGCCACAGATAGAACAGAATCCTGCTGCTTGCAGGAAAACAGGTTAAGCTGGAGATGACACTATCCTATTAGGCTTAAAGAATTTCCTGAGAAGGAATCTCAGTTGAGGGGTTGATGGATGGGACTGGCCTGTGGGCAGGCGTGCTCAGCCCACTGTGGACAGTGCCAGTCCCCAGGAAGTGCTCCTGAGCCTTACGGCAGAGCTGGCCACACCTAAGTCACGGAGAAAGGCAGCAAACAGTGATCCTCCATGGTTCCTGCTTCTGTCAGTGACAGACTGTGACCTGGAAGCATGAGCCAGATAAACCCATTTCTGGGCGGCAAGCTTCACTTGTGTTCTCTCCTGTGTGGACTCAGTCTGTGTCCTGGTCGTCTCCAGTTGGGATCTGGCCAGAGAGAGGCAGGACATCATGGTGGCAAAGTGCAAACAAAGCCACTTGCTCCAGAGTCCAGGAAGCAGACTGAATCTCATTACTGCATCCTAAAAATTCCCAAAATGATGTGATTCAGCTTCCATGTTTTCTAAGTGTCTGAACCATTATATAATATGCTTAAATTAAAAACAAAACCAAACCAAAACAGAAAACTTGCTGTTCAAAATACCCACTAATAACATTTGGAATGTATTCTGCATGTTGCCTGGCACTCTCCATCCAGAAGCCTTGACTTCTGGGGCACATGGTCACCTTCCAGCAGCTGCGCTGCCAGCCCGCAGAGCCCTGGCTTGGATGTGAAGGGACAGTGTCTCTCGCTTTTGTTCCACATGAGCCTCTGCACTCCTCCAGGGCACCTGCCTACAGCTCAACATTGCTTTGCTTTTTCTTTTATGTGTTTGTCAAAAATAATCACTCACAATAAGAGATGGAATAAAAACAATGTCTTCCACTGTTCACATTAGGTATATAATTCTGCTATCTTTTAAATATGTAAAGTGTCTCCAAATTCCAGAGAGACAAAGCCCTACTTCACCAGAACAGGTTTTCTTTTCTTTTTTTTTTTAATCTATCAGGTTTAAGGTTGGAATTAATGCATGTTTTTCTTCTACAACTAAATCATCACATTCCTCTAGAAGCACAAAGAAACAGCATGGTAGACTACACTGGCTGCTACCACCCCTGGCCCCCAACCTGCAAAGAGTGAGCTTTCTGCTGGCTAAGAACATTAATGTACACCTTGACTCCCTAACCCTAACTTCCCTTACTACTTTCCAAAATAGAATCACTCTTGCTGGAGTCGCTGCCTCTTGGGTACTGAACAGAAAGATCCAGATTCCTTTTCCAGTCCCTGTTAGTGTTCACACAGCAGGGCAGGAGCAGTGCAGCTCCAGCTGCTACGTGCAGCACGGTGGTCATTCACCTGAGGGCAGTTCATAAGCCAAGCTTTTTAGCTGTTCCCAATGTGAAGATGATTTAAGCTCATGTTCAGGAGTACAGGAGATTCAGTGCTCACCTTGCATACGGGATGTAGGACAGACTATACCTGCAAAAGAGAGTCGCACATGTTGACACTTTCTCTGCACCAAGTCCTCCTATTCCCACTGGACACATCTACTGTAGCCACCTCAGCAGCAGAACACAGGCCAGTGGTTCTCAAACTGTGACTCCATCTCGGGCAATAGCATTGATTAGGAACTTGTGGAAGATTCCGACCCTCCGAGACCTACAGCTCCGAGTCACCAGACTGCCTCATAAGCAACCTGTAGACTTTGCTGTGCTGGGGATGGACCCCAGGTCCTCTGTCACTAAGCTACAGATACAACTGACAATGTGTTCAGTAAACTTCAGCGACTCTGATGCTGATGCTGAGGCTTTTTGCAGAAGTTACTCTCTTATCTTTCCAGCAAAAGCTACCATTACTAAGTATGGTGACAACTTTCTGGAGAAAAGCCAACCGGAATACATTAAAGGAAAGCAAAATGTAAGAGAGTAGCCTATGTGATTTAGCCTAAATTCTTTGCATTCCAATGAGTCAAGTAACCTTACACAGTGAGTCTGGAATACACTGGTGTGGTATATATCTGTCAGTGGAAAGGTAGAAAAACCCAGAAGAGGAGCTGAGCCCAGCTGGGTGACAACAATGGGGAAGACACAAATAACGAAATTGAGAAAGGCAAGGAAAACGTGTTCTGTAGTCTAACAGGGAGCAGGGTGAGAAGTGGCTGGCTGGGGTTTTCCAGGCAGGTGAGTGGAGGCAGAGTGAGTCACATGGGGCTCTGAGGATGTGGCACTGGAAAGACGGCACACAGCAACAGTGGAGGGAATGCCTGGGGTGCCTGACACCCGTGGCTGCACCCTGTGAGCTTCCTCTTGTGAGAGTTCAGGTGGCTTTGTCTACATTTCTGATATGTTCTCTTCCCACGGTAGCCTGCCCCCATAGCCAGTGCACCCTGATACCACAGCTCTCTCTACAAGTACCAGGGAGGCACTGTTCAGAAAGGGCCTCACTCCACCTGACTTTGCAGGAGTCTGGCTCACAGGCATAGGCCCCTGCTCCCCTTTTCAAGGGCTCTCTAGAATCTAAATGATGCTGGAAACATCCTAGACAGTTTTTTATTCTATAACTGGTATACAAAGAGACTTACCAGGTCATCGACAAGAACTGCAATATACAGAATAGTAAGGCCAGCCCCTTCTTCCGCCACTAGCAACAAACAACACATTTAGGGTTTTAAAAAGTAGCATTATAAATCAGGTTCGATTCTTCACTTTGAAATGGATATCCTGTTTGTTTATTCAATTTTATCTCTATATATTGTAAAACTTTAAATATCACCCATGAAAATACATTTCCTTTCCAATGCCACCTATATTATCTTAAATACTATAAAGTACACAGCACAAGTGACTGTTCCAGTTATGCAAAGGCTGGAAATAGAACTCTTCCAGGTGTCATGTAACCCTGATGCTACAAGTGATGTGTGTAACCTTTCCTAGAATCAGCACTTAAAACCCCGTAAAGCTCCACAGAACTACTTGCACTCCCTACATTCTGTTCTTTGGAGATGTTTTGCTATACAGCCCAGACTGGCCTTGAACCTACTGCAATCCTCCTGCCTCAATCTCCTACATACTGGGATTATAGCATGCACTATCATGGCTGGCTTCTTGAGGTTTTTGGCTTTGCTTCTTTTTTTCAGACAGGATTTCTCTGTGTAGTTCTGGCTGTCCTGGCACTCACTTTGGCATCAAACTCAGAAAGATCCTCCTGCCTCTGCCTCCTCAGTGCTGGGATTAAAGGCTTGTGCAACCATCACCCAGAGATTTTGTTTCTTTTTTAAAAGGACAATTATACTATCGCAGTTTTCTGAGGTAATATAAAGTTCCCACCGTGCTCTAAGATAACTGACTTGAGAATTCCTAATCTTTTGGGGGAAGAAGGTGGGCAGGTGTTGAGGATCAAAACCAGGACTTGTCTCCAGGTGGACAAATGCTTTCTACCACTGAGCTACCTGCCTAGCCCCAACCCTTAAAGGAGAGGAGGAGACAGGATGGATTAGTGGGTAAAGCCATTGTCTGCCAAGGCTGACAACCCGGCACCCACACTGTGGAAGGAGAAAACTGGCTCTTGCCAGTTTTGTCCTGACTTCCTTATGTGCACTATGGCACAACCACACACACAGGGAGCCCTTAGCTGACCTGGAAGTTACTATGTAGAGCAGGCTGACCTCAATCTCCAGGATGCTGATTAAAGGCATCACCACCACATGTGGTCCTGATGGAGATTCTTTTTAATCTATTTGTTGATTTGTTTTTTTCTCTGGACTGCCCTTCTCTGGGAGCTTTTCACACTGTTGCTTCCCCCATGGCACACAGAGAGTCTGTAGCAGGCAAAGCAGAGGACACAGGCCCAGTCTAGGATGCTGTCAGAACAGCAACCAGTCTCAGCATGTGTGTGCTCACAGGTTGTGCTTAACAACCACCTCTGTGTAGGTTATAGACAGCAGACTCCACTTTACATCTGTTTCAGGGACACTGACTCTCTTGAGGGCTTCATGAAACTGGCCTCTGCTCTGCTCTAGGACAATGGTTGAGTGGGACAGTGAGCAGACAGCCAGCACGGCTGACATAACTTACCCACAGAGCAGCACACAGGGTAAACACCAGGCACAACTATAGGGAAGGAAAGAGTTCATGAGGAACTCGAAGTTCTTCAAGGGCCAACAAAAATGCACAAACCTCTGCATTCATCTGCTTGGATAGCATGCAACAGAATAAAGAAGTGAGACAGTGGACTCTGCTGTCCCCTTAAAGCCTGCAGAAGCAATCCCCGCTGTCCCAGCAAACTGAAGCCCTAACTAATGTGCTGCTCAAGTAAAAGACTGGAAAATGAAGTCTAGAGCAGCAAGAGGCCACTCCTGTGCCTTGTTGATGTTGTTGATGTTGTACTATCAGACAGTGGCAACGGCACTGCCGTTAGTGTCAGCATGCTCCACCATGTTCATTTTACAGCACTGGACAATGCTTCACACAGCAGACTGCATGAGCTCGCAGCATACCCATGTCACCTGGACAGGCTAGGAAGAACAGAAGTGGGAGTCTAAGCCTGGAAGGCCTGATGTGACTCCAGTCTGACCCTCGAAAGCTCAGGGGACAGAGTGTGCTTGGAGGGGAGGGGATGTCTAAGGCTCAGCTTTCCTCTCTAACAGAGAGCACCTGCACACTGCTTCATCTGCACTGGGGCGGCAGTTGTCTTCATCATTACTGTGAGGCAGAATCTGTGTGTGCAGCAACTTAACTCATGTTCAACATTCTCCTGCAAAGTGTGGCTCAACAACCAGCACTGGGTGACAACTGCAGTAACTCAGAGCACTGAGTGACAGCCATGGTGAGAGCCTGTTACACAAAGGGACTCAACTTAAAGCTGAGAAGCTGCCCCAGAACAAGGGTCAAGTCAGCAAATAGCAGAAGACAGAAACCACACAAGTTACAATTCCAGTTCTCCCTGAGAAGATTCCTATGAATTTACAAGTATGGTACCTCTCCCCTCCCCCCCCACCCCCCCGAGGAACAGACATCCCAACATGTGTAGGGCTTAAAAATGAAATATGACAGCTGATTTTTATAACTACTTCAGCTATACAATGCACATGAAACAGGAAGCATGTTCCACCCAGCCAATCATATTAGATAATGCTGTATAAGCCAAACTCTTCCTGTTACTTCACACACACACACACACACACACACACACACACACACACACACACACACGCTCTCTCTCTCGCTCCCTCTCTCTCACAGCAATAATGCAGAAGACATTAATAAGTTTATAAAATTAACATTACTTACAAGCATAATAACTGTTGCCAGCAATCTTGTTGTCTCAAACATTTTCTTCAGTTGCTTCACGGGTCCCATTAAAAAGCATGTACTATTTGAAACAAAGTAAAAGATGGCTCTACTATTTTGTCTGGCTATGCAGAAATAAAATTGCTATAAAATAAACTGTGTGAGTTGTTTTATTTCTTGCTTTACTTGTCTGTGGATCTGTTGTCTTTGTTGCTGTTTAGGACAAAGCCTAGGCTAGCCTTAAACACCTCACTCTTCTGTACTGGGACCTTCCCCCCTTATTTAGTTTGTTGTTGCTCCTTTGAGACATGGTCTTTCTATATAGCCCAGGCTGGCCATAACTCGCAATCCTCCTGCCTCACCTTCTGAGTACTGGGCAGTTACTTTCATTTTGTTGTCATTTTGACACACAGTCTTGCTGCTAGCCCAGGCTAGCCTAGACTTTGTGACAGTTCTGTTTTTCCCTCCAGAAAACAGGTATTATATATGCATGTCCACCATGCTTGTTTTTCCCCTTACCTCTGAAAGGACACTTCAAGACATGCTATGGTCTTAACATGATATTGATGGCATGAAGGGTGACGAGGCCACAGACTGCCTCCTGTCCCCACATGGGTGGAAGCAAGGCCCCAAGGTGACCCTCCAAACATGGGAGTGCATGTAACCCCTCAGGGATACAGAGTGCAGCTCTGAGCAGACAACTGAGGCACCAATCTTGGACTCCCAGCCTTCAGAAGCCTGTTGTTAAAGCATCCCAAGTGGCCTGGATGCTCTACTCATCCCCACAGCAATGGTCTCTCTCAGAGGACACCGACAGCTCCAGTCCCTGCTGCTCACTGGCTTCAGTTCTCTGCACTGTGCCCACACTGTCACCTCTGTTCCTAGCTTCCTGTGTGAGCCCTGCATCACACAGCCTTCACTCCACAAGAGCCAGGACTGAAGGGTAGCAACTACACAGCTGGGCTCTGGAGCTGTGCTCCCCAAATGCACTGCTGGCCACTCAATATCCCCAGTACTCAGTCATACAATAGCAGTATTACAGAATGAACATAAATGTTGCTGCAGAATTGACATAAACAATCAACAAAAACATGGTACTTACAAAGACTTATTAGAAAGAAAATCTGGTACCAACAGCAAACAAGGCATTTTAAAAAGCCAAAGTATATACACACCTGGCCAATGCAGCAAGGTTTCCAAGGGTGTAAAATACTGCAAAGAGTTTCATGCCATTGGGAAGCCATAGCAACCCAGTTCCCTAAAGTAGAAATTATAGTTAGTTAGATAACAATATGGTCTTCAGAGCCCAGAATTAGAAAGTTCTAGTACAGTGGTTGATACTAAGTACTATACAATAATGCTTAACTTCAACTATGGCAATACAGTCTCCTGTATCAGTGTATACTAATGTGCTCTAGCAGAAACGTCGCTACACTTGTCTGAGACTAAGAATTCAACTGAATGCCAAGTTAAAACAGGCTTACTAAAACACATCTAAATTATTGATTGTCTAGTTTTCAAGAAAAATTGGTGTTCCAAATACAATTTTAACATTTTCTCCAAATTATCATAACAATAATTTCTGTTTATTTTTAATCAATCCCTACACATTTATTTAAGGTCACTGTTCTATCAAAATAATCTAACATTTAGATAAAGCAGGCTACTTCGGTTGATTCTAAGTTAAATTATTCATGTAGAACAATATAAGACTATTAAAAAAGACAATGCCTTAACTTACAAGGATTGAAAAGAAAATGCCAGCAACAAAGCATATGACAAACCACTTCAACCTGGTGTTGAAACTCAGGGACGAGGCATCCAGGACCTTAGAAAAGAGGGGCAGTTAGAAAGTTAGATCAGCATGTATAAGTCTGACTCTACACTGCATTGAGCAAGCTTCTTTGTCTTTTGAAGACAGGGATTCTCTTCATATCTCTGGCTGTCCTAGAACTCATCACATAGACCAGGTTGACCTTGAACTCATATAGACATGCCTCCCATGTGCAGGGATTAAAGGTGTGTGCCACCATGCCTGGCAGCATTCACTGTTAACATGGACCTGACTCTATGATACTGTCACTTCTGTGGTTATAAGGACAATGACATCAGCTGATGCCGGGAAACGACCTGGGAGGTATGATCACAGTGCGTTTTAGGTCTCATAAGGTCCTTCCCGGTTGGGTGCAGCACATGCATGTTCATCTAGGCAGAACAACACAACGGTAGAGATACATCCACCTTTAAACTGGGATAAAGCCAGGTGGGCTGCAGGTTGGACACTGTGGAGGCTGGGCCTGCACATAGCCTCATCCTACACCTGTCAACTTCTGCCAGTCCTGAGGAGTGAGACAAGGATGATCTCAGTAGAAACCTTTAAGGAAGCAGGGGGAACTGGAGAGAGAAATGGAAGGCACCCAGCAAGGGTGTGCTTCACCCAGAGATGAGCCTGGGTCCTCAGTGAACCATATTGCAATGGATGTCTAGCCTAAGGAGTGAGCTGGCTTCTGGGGCCCTTGAAACTAGAAATTTAGCCAAGCATGGTAGTGCATACCTGTAATCCCAATACTTGGGGAAATAGAGGCAGGAGGATTAGGAGTTCAAACCTAGCTTCAACTATACAGCAAGTTCAAAGCTAGAACTAGAAATTTACAAGAATTTCTATCCCAAGATTTACATTTCTACTGGGCACTACCATATACACGTAAGAAGAGTAAGACCAGCGGCTCAGGACATTTTCAGTGGTGAAATCACATAGGAATTTGTGGGCATCAGCTCGCAATCCCCGTGGTCTCCACTCCTTACCTCAGCAGATCACCCGGGATCCTTACGCAGCATGAAAGGCAGAGAAAAGTAAGTGCTCCGTCAGCACAACACACAGCGTTGAATGTACCTTAGTATCTCTGCAATTTAATCTAGACACCCTGACTCCAGCAATGCCACCTGCTGCAGCCTAACTGGACATGTGGTTGTTAATTGGGTGAACAGGCTACAGACACCCAAAGCCCCTTCTTACCAGGGATTTACATACTACATGTATTTTAGTCACAGAATAAAGCACCCCAAATGTGTACATCACTTAACAACCTGTTGTCACACACATTAGATCATCATGCTCTGTCATACATGCGTACATGTCACACATGCATTCAATTTTCACTTTCCAGCTTCAGGACTTCTTGCCATCTCATGACACAGTAAAGTCTTTGACCAGGAGGCCACTGAGAAGACACCGCAAGGAATCAGGACTGAAAGATGAACCACTGACTAACTCCTCGGCCATACAGGCAGTGAGAATGAATGGACACACCACACAGTGACCCCAGCTTTGCACCTGTACCTGATGACAGGCTAAGGCCCAGGGCCATACCACCTACAAGTCAGGGAGAGTTACAGCCACAGAGCCCAGAGTCCAGTCCTCCAGAACACTTGCTGTGCCTTCTAATTAGCAAAAGCCCTAATGTCTACATTCCCTCCATTTCTCTCCCCAAATGGCTGGCACATAAAGAGATCAATGATCAGCAGAGGCTGAAGGACCTGCTCCTCACGGCTATTCTGGGCAGCACGCCTGCTTGCCCTCTCTCCTCCTAGGGTTCATGAGGTAAAGGGCCACTGTGACCCCCAGCTGTCCCCACCAGCTTTCGTTGTCCTCTCCCTCAGGTCTCCTGGCCACAAGGCCAATCCTACCCACCTGGTAGATCTTGCCTGTTTTCCATATTCAACATGGACAGCCCATTCGCTCTGTTCTTCAACCCATCTCCAGTGGCTTTTCTCTCTCAACTCACCCACTGACCTACTTCTTCTTCCCTGCAACTCCTCTGTCTCTGAAATCTTGTTCAAAAAACCCCAGTCTAGGCCGCTGGGTGGGGGTCAGGAGCTAAGAGTACTTTCAGATACATTGGACCTGGGTTCAACTCCCAGCCCCCATATGGCAGTCACAACCATTCCCAATTCAAGTTCCAGGGTATCCCATGCTGTTTTCTGGCCTCAGTGGACATCAGCTATGCATATGGTGCACATACATACATGTAGACAAAACAGTCATAAACACAAAAGGAAATTAGTCTTAAAAAATAACCAATGCCCTAGGAGCTGCTCCCTCGCCTGCCTCACAGGCCCCTTCGCAGGCCCTCAGCTTCTCCTCATTTCAGCAGCATTAGTGGAGCATCACTCTTGGTCAAGCCTATTTTCGATCTCCCCACCCCCAACCTGATCCCTTACAAGAACTACCTCAAGCCTCCTAGTTCTGCTTCAGTGCTCTTCTCTGGACAGACAACTCCACCTACTGACAGCAGAGAAAACTGGAGGCGGCAGTCAGAGCTCGTAGCTCCCACAGCAGTCTCCATCTGCTCACTTATTATGAGTGTTTGGTCCCCAGTTGTTGGAACTGTTAGGGCAGGATTAAGGTTCATGGCCTTGCTAAAAGAGGTGTGTCACTGGGGTGGGGTGGACTTTGAGGTTTTGAAGGCCAATGCCCTTCCCAGTTAGCTCTCTGCCTCATGTTGTATCTCAAGATGTGAGCTCTCAGCTACTGCTCCAGAGCCATGCTCACCTACCTGGTGTCACGCTCCCTACCATGATGGTCACTCACATCCCACAACTCTAAGCCTCAAATAACCTCTTCTGTAAGCTGCCTTGGTCATGATGTCTTATCACAGCAACAGGAAAGTACCTAAGACACCCACTTACAAGAGTGGCTCCCAGGAAGGGACTCCTCCTATCTGTCTCAGGGAGGTACACACTTGCCTACCTGTTTTAGGGGCCCATCCCTCACGTCTGCTGCAGGAACTACCTTGAAACAAAATCCAAAAAGATGTCTCCCTCCAGCCTCTACACCCAGCCAGCCAGTCAGTCAGCCACTCCCTGATACTGAGAGCAACTATGTGCTTCTAAGAGCTAGGTGAGAGGCTCTGCTCCTGGTTACAAACAAACACTATATGCTGATCAGGCATGATGGTGCCTGTCTTTAATCCCAGCCCTTGGGAGACAGAGGTAAGAGGAACTTGTGAGTTCCAAGCCAGCCACATAGACACCGTGTCTAAAAAACAAACAAACCAGTATGCCAGATGCTGTAACAAAACACATCACCGCCAGACCATCATATCACCTGTTATATACTGGCTTATACAACAGGGGCCTTTATTAACATCCTCCACCTCAACTACCGTCACCACCTCTTCTCCCTCCTCTTCCTCCTCCTGATTCTGGAAACTGTGAGTCTAAAATCAAGTGTTAGTAGAATAGTGTCTGCTGCCTCTGCACATGATAGAAGGGGCAAATGCTCTCCCTGAAGTATCTTTTAAAGCCACCTTCTCTTAAGACTATCACGCTGAGAGTTAGGCCTTAGCAGATGAATTTGGGGAGCATTCAGAATGGAGCACTGGATGTACCTGTTCGGGCCTGACCATGAGCAGTGACACAGCCTCCTGGGAAGCTGCCATTCCACATGGGCCTGGAGCACCATAGGCTCTGAAGGGAGCTGCAGGCCTGACCTGAAGACCGTCACTGGCTGTGACCTTTCATTTTCACAGAGTGTACCCTATCCCTAAAGATGGGCCTGAGAGGCTTGACTCTCTAACCTTAAATGCTTGGTCTTTTTCTGTGACTGTCCTAATCCTGCAGCTATGTGGAGGCCCCAGACAATAGGCAGCTCAATATCATATAGAAGATTCAACTCAGAGACCACACAAATTTTTGGATTTTTATGATAAAAAAAAAAAAAAAAAAAAAAAGTCTTAGGGTTTTACTTCTGTGACCAGACACTATGACCAAGGGACCTCACAAGGACAACGTTTAATTGGGGCTGGTTCAGAGATTCAGTCTGTTATCATCAAGGCAAGAACATGCCAGTATCCAGGCAGGGATGGTGCAGAAGGAGCTGAGAGTCCTACATCTTCACCCAAAGGCTGCTAGCAGAATACTGGCTTCCAGGCAGCTAGGATGAAGGTCTCATAGCCCACTCCCACAGTGACACCCACCTACTCCAACAAAGCCACACCCTTTAACAGTGCCACTCCGTGAGCCGAGCATATATAAACCATCACAGTGACTAAATGTTTCACGATACCTTGGCAGGTCATATTCAATCTTCTGAGAGAGCCACTGCTTCACTTATATAACAGGGGCTTCTATTACCATCTTCCATGTGGAGAAGTCGAAGGTGTAACATGGCAGTTTCCTTTGTTAACACGGACTAGTCATCCACAAACAAATGACTCATCTGCTGTGCTGTGCTAAGATATGCACATAAGTGTTCCCTCAAATCCTAACCTTTCAGAAGCTAGTACTAGAACATGGAGCCTCAGGGACACGCAGGACATAGGAACAGAAGCTTTGGGAGTGGGATTAGTTTTCTTTCCCAGGGAATTCCCACACCCCCTCCACTGAAACTGGAATGGTACATCCATGAGCCAGAAAGTGGCCCTTGGGAGACACAAATTCCGCTGAGACTATGATCTTGGGACTGTCAGCCTCTGGAATAGTAAAAAATAAACTTCTGTGGTTTCCAAGCTACCCAGTCTTTGAGTTCTGGTCAAAGTCTACAAACACACAGTTCATGGCAGAGACTTGTTAGGCTTCAATGACAGGTCACAGGACAGACAGGTCTTACACGCAATTGGGGAGGGCAGTCAAGGGAGAGAACAGCTGCCAGAGCAAATAGGTGGGTAGCTAGGAACAGGCCTAGTCTTTCTGAAGACATTCAATAATGACTCCACTAGAAGAGCCAGGTTGGAGCATTCCAGAAAGAATGACTTTGCTACAAGCCTGCCAAGTTGTACAGATAAGAAAGGACTCAGATAAGGAAGCTGAGACACCTGAAACACAGTTGGGTCTTGGCAGGTGGAGGAGGAGCCAGGTACATGCAGGTCTGCGAAGCTAACCTGGGTTTAACTCTAGACACACAGTGGGAGAGCAGGATGGGCTTCTCTGAGGCCTCCTTCAGGCCTTTCCCTCTAGGAAGATGTCCTAGACACCTCCTAAGGAAGGCCCAGAACCCTAGCTTCTAGTCAATCCTGGGCCTCAAGCCTCTCAGCAGCAGGATGGAGTAGCTCAAATTCCAGGGTGCCTGATACCCTTGTCTAACTCGGAATCCTGGCAACCATCTACTTAGAGGAACTATTCCATCGTGCAGTACAAGAAGTCACCACTTGGGCTGGTGAGATGGCTCAGGGGTTAAGATCACTGACTGCTCTTCTGGAGGTCATGAGTTCAAATCCCAGCAACCACATGGTAGCTAACAACCATTCATAATGAGATCTGATGCCCTCTTATGGGGTGTCTGAAGACAGCTACAGTGTATTTACATATAATAAATAAATAAAAACCTTTGGGCGGGATTGAGCAGGGCCAGAGTGAGCAGGGCTGGAGCGAGCAGGAAAAGGAAAGGGGTAAAAAAAGAGTAAACAAGTTAAAAAAAAAAAAGAAAATCAGTTTAAAAAAAAAAGAAAGAAATAAAGGAAGGAAGGAAGGAAGGAAGGAAGGAAGGAAGGAAGAAAAAAGAAAAGAAAAAAGTCACCACTCAGGACACCCCGCTGCCCTGCTAAATCTGGGCATCTACAATTGCAGAACACTCTGAACGCCACCCAAATTTTCTGGTCCTCACCATCTTGTAAGCATCTCTCATCTTGTGGTATACCCTCCCCAGGGGTATTTGTTCTTCCCACAACCTGCAGGACAAGCAGTGGGCTAAGCACTCTTCTCTCTAGGCCCATGTTCTTCCCCAGACACCTACTACTTTCAAGGCCACCATGACACTGTACTCCTGTCCCTCATCACTGTCACACCTCTCATCCTTGGAGAGCAAAATTTTTATACATATGAGATAAAAATAAATCCTAAAAATTAAAGAAAATTGGAGTTCTGGATCAACATAGCTGAGTTTTCCCCAGGAACAGGTTTGGGTTCTCATGCCCTCTTCTCAGGGGTGGAACTACTTTGAGAGGTTCTAGAAATTTGAGATGCTAAGGCCTACTTGGTACAAGTCACTAGGGTTGACTTCTGCTTTCTCTCCTTCCTGGAGCTGTGAAGCAAATCCCCTCTCGTATCTATCCAAGAACTGAACTGTCCACCATACCTTCCCCATCATGATAGACTAAAGCTCTGAAACTGGGAACCACAACATACCTTCCCTGTCCTTAAGTCGTTTCTGCCAGGTACTGTGGTCAATGACGGCAAAGTGGCTAATACACTCACAGTCAATCAGAACCCTCTCCACAGCCTGGGAGATGCAATGGGATGAAGAATCTTCCACCCCTTGCCTGCCTGCCTTCGTCTCCTACCTGTGTCCCTCTCCCTCTGTTCCAGTCACTAGCCTAGCACACACACAGCCACTCCTGCCACTCCTGGTGGGAAGCTCTTCACGATAGACCACCCTACCTGAGAGGCTGACTACCCTATGCACTATGGCAACCCTAAGCTTCCCAACCCTCTTTACCTGTTCCACGGCACTTTCCACCAACACTGTAACAGTATCCTTGTCTGAGATGTAAATTTTGTACACCAGAGGCCTCTATCAGTCACTGTTATTCCATCGACAGTGACAACAATGTTGGGACCTGAAGATCTGTTGGACAACACTTAACACTTAACAGTCTATCACCACCAGAGCCTTTGACCTTTGAGTGAACTCTTCTCTACACAATTTTCTCTCCTCCAGAAACAGCTGCAAGGAACAAGATCACTTCTTTGTCCCCAGGATTTACAAGAGCAATGCCTGACAATACTCTGGCGGTGGAATCATTCCTTAGGCGTAATGTCTGAACAGTAGCCACTGACCACATGCTACTGACCGCTTAAAAATGGGATGTAACACTAAGGAAATAAATTCTAAATTTTAATCTGTTTAAATTTAAATGGCTACACACAGTCATAGCTACAGCACAGGTCTAGAACAAAGAGTGGAGCATGAAACAGTTGTCAAGCAGCTTGGATAAGCCATATATACTGCCATTTCTGAGGTTACTATGTATAGGCTTTTGTACTACAATTACAATACAGATTTCAGTTCTCAAGAGGCTGAGACGCAGGAGACCCTTTGTAGTTCCAGGCTAGCTAGGGCTACACAGTGAGACCTTGTCTCACAACAAAACCAAAAAGAACAAACAGACAAAACACAAGACACGATATAGATTTCACTTGTCTCAACACAGGCTACCTCAGTCCCGCCAACAAAGAAGTCAGAAACGAAAAAGGAACAAACAAAACTTCTTCATGTAATACAAATCCAAGTCCATATCTGTGCCAAGACACACCAAAATGTGCTAGCATGCAAAACACAAAGCAGTTCCTGTTTGCCTATTTTAAATTCTTACTGGAGGAAGTAAGTCTTTATCAAGTCTCATGTCTGGGTCACATGCAAACAGCAAGGGCTCTGTTAATAAAAAGTACGCATCGCTAAGGAGGGTTGACTTCACAGGCAACCTTTGGCACGGCGTAGCTTCACGTCTGTGCTCTCTCTCCAGTCTCTCGCCCAGGTCTCACAAGACCTGGAATGCCTGAGCTGGCCACAGGCAGCCCGGCCCCGAGGCCTGAACCTCAGAGCTCGCTGCAGGGACCACGGAACATGGGTGCAGAAGGGGAGGACCCCGAGAAAGGCCACAGGGAAGCAGCTGGAACTAGACAGCCCCGACACCCGGGGCCGACTCCCCCACAGCGGTTTCCGCCCCCTCCCCATTGTCGCCGCGGCCGGGGACGTTACCTGCGCCGTCAGGCCTTGCTCCTCGTCGTCCTGGCCGCTCAGGACACGCCGTAGCTTCTCCATGGCCCTATCCTCCGGCTGCGCCGCCGGCCACTAGCTCCACGGCCCCACACGCCCACCCGGAAGCCAGGAATCCGTACCTTCACGCGCCAGCCGGAAATCCGAACTTCCGCTTCCTTCGAGCATGCGCAACTTCTCGCTCTAGCGCTGCTGGGGCAGGTCTGCTACGTCACTTCCGGCGCGCCCACTGGTGCCGGTAGAGGGCTGGTGAGTTGCTTTTCTTATCCTCAAGATCGGTCACCCTGGCAGCAGGGAGGGACGCAGAGTTAGAGCTGTCTGTCCGTCCTGGTGCAGAGAAGCAATGTCCAGCTGCAGGGCTCTCCAGTCACTGAGTGATAGGTCCTGCCTCGATTGTTTTGGGTTGGAGAGATGGTAATGAAATGTCCTTTATTTTAACTACTTCACTAACAGCTTCCTCCTTAATATTGGATCAAGAAAAAAAGGGTTAATTGTCTAACATACTGCGTCTCGAAAAACAGTCATTACAGGAACTCCAGAGAAGGGGATCTTGTACTGATGAAACTGCTCCAGCATTCTCAGGGAGTTGGACCTGAACGAGCGAAAGTACGAAAGCCCTGCCCCTTTGCCCTTTGAAAGATCACAAAGATGATAACGAATGTACAATAAAATTGTTTTTAATATATCTATACATTTTCCTTTTGAAGTATAATAACTCTTCTATATTAAAAAATCTGATACCAGTAGTTATGAAAATTCTGTTTTCCAATATATATGAAATTTCCAGCGCTCACAATATAGTTGAAACCCCTATTTCAAGGAGTCAGTATGTACTTGAAATAATTAGTGGCAGTTCAAGAACGCTGGTGAAATATACTTATGTGGAAATCTCACAGTGAAACCTATTAATTTGTACAAATGATAGAGTGTTAATTATAATAACAAGAATAAACTGGATCCTAGAATGTGTTACAGAGAAAAAGCCATTTAGTAACCCAGTTTTGCCTGAGACTTAACCTCTTAGTGTTCTGATTTGATATATGTGACCCCCTGTCTGTCATTTTTTAAAAAGTTTATTTGTATGGATGTTTTACTTGCCTGTGTGTCTGTGTACCATATTGATGCACTGCCCACAGATATCAGAAGAAGGCATCGGATTCCCTGGAACTGGAATTAGGGAAGGTTGTGAGCTGCTATGTGGGTGCTGGGAAACTGTGAATCCTCTGGAAAAGCAGCAAGTACTCTTAACCACTGAGCCCCTCTCTCTAGCCCTTCTGTTATTTCTAAGGCTCAGTAAGACCTTATGTAGAATAGAGACCCTGGACAAGACACATGTCTTGAAGTGTAAATTTCCTGACAAATTTAACTATACAGAATAAAATGCAACTATTAAAAGCAAGGACCGAGGGCTGGAGAGATGGCTTAGAGAGAGATTAAGAGTACTGGATGCTCTAAAAGAGGTCCCGAGTTTGATTCCCAGCAACCACATGGTGGCTCACAACCATCTATAAAGGGATCTGATGCCTTCTTTTGTCATGCAGGCATACATGCAAACAAAGCATAATAAATAAATACACTTATTTATTAATATATAACACACTCATTTATATTATTATATAGAGCATAAATCTTAAAAACAAAATAACGGCTGAGCTAGAGGTGATGGCACATACATTTGGTATCAGCACTCAAGAGGCAGAGGCAGGTGGATCTCTTGAGTTTGAGGTTAGCCTGGTCTACAAAGTGAGTTCTAGGACAGCCAGGGCTACACAGAGAAACCCTCTCAAAAACCCATACAACCAACTAAACAAAAGGCTGATGTATAGGTTTTATTGCTTCTTTGTACCCTAGAAGCCAAACCTGTCTTCTGAACAATGCTCCACAACATTTATTAGATCACTGCGGGGGATAATGCAATGAGTAAGGGCCTAGGCTCTGGATAGAAGCCGTGGGTTGGAATCTTGCCCCCACCCCTGTAGCCTCTGGATTTGGCATAAATCACCACAAATTGGCTTCAGATGTGGAAATAAGGAGGGCATAATGGCGCAAGCCTTTAAACCCAGCACTTGAGGGGCAGAGGCAGTGGATCTCTGTGGATTCAAGTCAGCCTGGTCGACATAGTGAGTGTGAGGGACAGGCAGAGCTACATACTGAGCCCCTGTCTCCAAAACAAACAAACAAATGTGAACATGACATCGGTTCCTACCTTACAGAGCTGTTAAGGGGACTAAATGGAAAAACACTGAAACCACCCTCATTACTAACAGGTGGGCTTGAAGATGCTACAAACCAGTCAATCCTTATAGCACTTCCCAGGTCATGCAAGTTCAGGGTCAGAGTTTTGGTGAGCCTCAAGCCTACCATCCTAGCTGAGATCCAGAGAGTGAGGCTGACTTATTTCAGTTCATGTTGCAAACAAATTTTCCTTCTGGGCCCCACTCAGTGCCCCAGTTTTCACATTATTGTGCTATTATTGGTGGTGGTGGTGGTGGCGGCCTCACTATTTGATGGGTCAGGGACATCTATCATGCCCAGGCTCCTAAACACCTTCTTAGGAAGATAGTTCAAGAAATCCATATAACACGACGCCAGCAAGGTTACATAATCATCAACTGACAAGGATGTAACCAGAGGTTTTCAAGAACCCGATTTTTGTGCCCAAGAAAAGGCTCAGCACACCCCAAGTCACCCTTTGTGGTGACTTTCCTGAACATAAAGGGCCCACGTAGCAAGGCTCCTGAGTGGAAACACTCAGGGCTGGCACTCACTGACTGCTGCACAAACCTTGCTGTCCGTCCTCCTGCCACTACTCAGCATGTACACACCCAGCTCTGGGTCCCCGTTTCTCTTCTTTTAGTGTATTGCCCAGAAAAACTAGAAGAACTTCCAGCTTCCATATTCTCCCTGTTCCCAAATACAGGGGTTTTCCAGGGGCAGAGAAATCCTTTCTTTCCAAACGAAAGGCAACTCAGGTGTAAAATAAGGTTCTGAATGGAGAGAGGCTGGACCTCTGGGAAAACAAGTTCTTCCAAGGCACTGAGATAAGTTCCTGGCTATTAAGCCAGGTTTGATGGTACATACCTTTAATCCCAGAACTTGGGAGGGGGAGAGGCAGATCTCGGTGAGTTCAAGATCAGTCTGATCAACATAGCAAGTCCAATCTCGACCAGGGCTACATAGAAAACCCACATCTTTACAAACAAACAACAAACTATCTAGGCAGGAAAAGACATGGGACCCTTGAATGCAAAAGACAACATCTATCAAGACTCCACACTGCACAATGTCATGTTACATTCCAAAAAAAAAGTAAAACTAGTTGCTAGTTTCTGAGATTGGGGTGGGGTGTGTGGGGATGAGTCAAATGGACACAGAAGACTTCTGGAACAATAGAACTGCTTCTGGATGTGATGATGGACACATGGTGCAGTGGCTTGAATAAAAATGGCCCCCATAGGCCCATAGAGAGTAGCAAACACTATTAGGATCTATGGTCTTGTTGGAGTAGGTGTGGCTTTGTTGGCAGAAGTACATCACTAGGTGCTGGCTTTGAGGATTCAGAAGTTCAAGCTTGGCCAGGGTGTCACTGTCACTTCCTGCTGCCTTTGGTTCCAGATATAGAACTCTTAGCTGTCTCTCCAGCACCATCTCTGCTAGTGTGCTGCCATGCTTCCTGCCATAATGATTGTGGACTAAACCTCTGAACTGTAAGCCAGACCCAGTTAAATGTTTGCCTTTATAAAGACTTGCCAAGGTCATAGTGTCTCTTCACAATAAAACCCTAACTAAGACACATGGCAATATGCATCATGTGCTACACAAAATATGACTTCTATAATAGACAATGAACTTTAACAGAAACATGCAAGCTGGTTCATCAGGAGTAGAACATACATCATCAGATTTAGAGAGAGAAGGGAGGGGAAATGGAGGGTCCTTCCGTTTTCTGTTTATGCTTTAAACTATTAAGAAAGATGAAGCTGTTAATATGAAACAGTGATTCCCTGTGGGTGTCCATCCCACCTGGGACCACTACAACATGTGCCCACTTGCCCACTACAACAGAGATGACAGAAGAGGCTGGTGAGAGGAAGGACAGTGTGTGGGCTTGTGCTGTCGCTAAGAGAGCTGGGGTGAGAGAGGAGCGGAACAAGGAAGAGCCAGGCTACTGAGGGAGCCGTTGAGACCTGCTTCACGACCATGTCCTCAACAACAGCCACAGGGAACACTGAGCTATGAGCTTAGGGTAGAAGCAGGTTTGCACTCTGGGAAGCTCATTTGGGCTCAGGCAAGGAAGGTAGGTACTGGGCCCAGAAATGGACATACTGTGCCCTGTCAGAGGTGCTGGTGGGAGACCAGAGGAGGGCCATGGAAGCTCTGGTGGCGGTGGCCTGCAGAGGGCAGAAACAAGCAGACTCTGTAGGCAGGAATGGACACTTGGATGCTGTGGAGGTGGTGTGGTGATGAGGTTACAGAGGGAAGGGCGGTGCTTGTATCAGAAGGAGTCACGGGGTTTGCCATTGCATGTTAGCATCCACACGCTGATAGTGTGATAGACTTGAAAGGCAGAGCTGGCAAGAGGCCTGGAAGTGAAGAACTCCCAAGAGGCTGTGGGTGCAGAAAGGGACCTTTGGCATTCTGACAAAAATGAGAACAAGGGCGAGAGGGGAGCAGGACGGATGTCGTCAGTGACGCTGGCCTGCTGAGGCGAAGGTTAAGTCTTGTCTCTTTCTGGAAGTCTGTTTTCCAAGGGCCAGTGAGACAGGAAATGGTACAATTGATTTTGACATGGCTCAAAGACAGCAGACGCCAGTTCCACTTCAAGGTGCCTGCAGACCGTCACTGCTGACAAAAGCCCTGGCAGTTTGCTGGGTGTGTGCAGATCGCCTTAGGCTGGGTTTCCTTTCCCAGAGCAGAAAGAGCTGTTGAAGAACAGCCTACAGAAAATACCCAGGTCTCCTACTTTGCTGATGCACAGCAACCCAAAAAAGACACCATGGTAACTTCGGTGCTCACCCGTGGCCTTTACAGTTCCCTGGGAGATCTGTTTTCATACCTCAAACCCCACCCACCATAAGAGAAAATGCCTCCCCCAAACCCTGTCTCTGAAAAGCCAGCCGGAAGCGCTCTGGGCCTTAATGACAAAGTGCTTTCTTTTCCTTCCTGGCAGCAGAGTCACGCAGTGTCTTGTGGCTGATGCCTCCCAGTGACTGTCCGTTGAGGCCTGCATGAGACTCTGCTAGTCCATGAAAACCAAGAATTCATTAATTGATATTTCAAACTGGTAAGCCAACTATCAAGGTTTGGATGTGACTTGCTTAAAAAGCAAAAGTAAAATTAATTCCCCAGACCCTGTGGTTATATACACATAATCATCAGTTCATGGAAACGTGACCAGCGTTATACAGATCAATTAAAATACCCTCGTGTAGCCTCTCTACAGCTACAGGTTCCCAGGGAAACGGCAACTGTCAGTCTGTGTCAGGGTAACTGAATGTGACCTAATTAAAAATGGCAGAAATGGCTGGGGATGTAGCTCAGTTGATAGCGTTTGCCTAGCATGCTCTAGGCCCTGGGTTCAACCTCTAGCACTGCATAAACCCAAGCACAGTGCCACGTGCTTATAATCCCAGCAATCCCAGGGTGTGGAGGCAGGAGGATTTGGAGTTGAACATCATCCCTTGG